ATTTAAATTAAAAAAAAAAATTGAATAAAATAAAAAATTCAGTTGCCTAGTCACTAGGCTGGCACAAGACTGGGCAGTGTTTCATTCTGTTGTTAATACAGTCTCTATGAGTTGGAGCTGACTCAATGATACCTAACAACAACAATAACAACAACGGTCACCATAGCCTCATATTAAGTGTTCCATAACCACATATGACTGGTGGCAGCTTTTTATAACAGCATAGTTATAGAGAGTTTCTATCAATGCACAATTTTGGACAGTGCTGCAACAGACCAGTAAACAGATAAATTCAGTCATGTGAAGATAAATGCTGAGGGGGAGGAATAAATCAAAATACAACGTAGAAGGAGTGCTGAGGGAATGAGGATGAGGTTGCTACTAGACAGAGGGTGGTCCCTGAGGAGAAGGCATTTGAGCAGGCACCAGAAAGAGGGCCCTGAGGAAGAGTGCCCTAGGCAGAGGGGACAGCAAGAGGCAAAGCTCTGCGATAGGAACACATGAACTGCCCTTTGTTCAGCACCAGCAGGGAGATGGGCCTGGCCTGAGAGGACAGCAGCTAGGAGTAGGAGGTAAAATCAGAGAAATGGTGGATTGAGAAAAGGGTGTACCTAGGGTCATCTCTGGGATGACAAGGACTTTGAATTTTACTGAGTGAGAGAGGAAGCCATTGGAAGATTCTAAGCAAAAGACCCACATGATCTGGCCTACATTTTAAAAGGACCACCCTGGCTACTGTGTGGTAATTCAATTTAGGGGGAGTTCTAGGACACCATTACTTTAATCTAAGCAAGAGTTGGTGGTATCATGGACCACAGTGGTAAGAGGAGAAGACAGTTAATGATCAGATTCTCGATGTATTTTGAGTGTAGATTTGACATGATTTGTTATTGGATATGGGATGTGAGAAACGGAGATCATGGACGATTCCAAATTGTTTTGTCTCAAAAGCAGGGCAAATGGAGTCATCGTTTTCTGAGACAGGGGATGCCGTAGGAGATCAGAGTAAGAATGGTGGGGGTCAAGAGTATTGTTTTAGATATGATACGTATGATATAATTATTAAACACAAACTGATAAAGAATAAGCATTTATATCTATAAGTAGAATTCAAAAAAGAGATCTTAGTTGGAGATAGAAATTTATGAGTCAACGGGACATAGAAGATATTTAAATCTGTGAGACACTATCTTATTTAGTACTATTCAGTAAATGGATGATATCCTAGTCATAGTTGTTCAATAAATGGTAGATACAGGCAGTGCTCAGGTTATAAATGAGATCTGTTCATAAGTGTATCTCAAGTCGAGTTTGTTGGTAAGTCAGAACGGTTGCATATGGTTCTTTTTTAGTCTTATTTAGTGCAAGAAAGGAGCGCTAGTGGCACCATGGTTAAGCACTTGGCTGCTACCTGAAAGGGCAGTGAGTCGAGCCCACCAGCTGCTCTTCAGGAGAAAGAAGTAGCAGTCTGTCATAAAGATTTACAGCTGGGGAAACCCTGTGGGGAAGTTCTGCCCTGTCCTATGGGTGGCTATCAGTCAGAGTTGACTCAATGACAGTGGGTTAAGTTTGGTGCAAGAAAAGGCTGGAAATCTTTTTAATAATTTAAAAGCTGCATGTGCAGCAAGTGAAGGTGATTGTGATAAAGATGTTGTTGTGAGTAGGTGTTGGTTCATTCATTTCAAAGTGAGGGCAAATTTATATAACATTAAAGGGCAAGCATGAGTTATTCATTAAATCAGATGTTCCTAACTCAAGATGTATTATTGTCCACAAGTACAGAAGTCGGAATCAGAGAGAGGAACAGACTTGCAAATGTCACAAAGCAAATTAGACATGCACCTAGGATTAAAACCCTAGATCTCCTTACTTCCCCTCCTCTGTTCCTCCCACAATCCCATACACAGTCCAGGAAATTTGCAATTTGTACCCCTTACTTTCCTCTGGAACTTCCAACAAGAGTCTGATCGGCTTGCCTGAAAAACTCATTGCAGCAATGCATGATGACATCCTTGCGTACAGCCAGTGGGTCCCAGCACCCTAGGTCGAGTCGACCCTCTCCTCAAGGACTCCTCTGCTTTTCAATGGGGCACAGTTTCGGGAATAAGGAGGAGGTTTCTCCAGACTAAGCCTTGTGTCTCTGCAGGGAAGGACCAGGGTTTCACCTTCTAACCATTGATAGCTCTTCTCCTCTTGTCAAGAGGATGCTCAAAAAAAAAAAAAAATTCACTGCCATTGAGTTGATTCTGTCTCATAGCAACTTTCCAAGGCTATAAATCTTTACAGAAGCAGACTGCCTCATCTTTCTTCTGTGAAGTGGCTTGAGAGTTGAAACCACCAACTTCTTGGTTAGCAGCCAAATGCCTTAACCACTGCACCATCTGAGCTCCTTTAGAAATCTGCTCTGACTTCATTTTTTCAGTCTTTCCATAGACCTATAGGGAACTATTTGAAAATTCGTCTTAGCTCTGATACATCACATGACCAGACAACTTAAGCTTCTTTCTCTTAATCAGGACTTTTAGGTATTTAAAGCATTGGCACCTTAAGCGGTACCTTGGTTGCCCTCAACACACACATACACACAACCTACATTCTTGATTTTCCTCCACGCAAAAGTCAGATTAGCCCTTTTGGAATTTTGTACCTCAGATCTCTTAAATTCTTCATTTTTCTTTTTCTTTACTTAAAAAGAAGGTAAGATTATTGGTGGAAGGTAACAAAGAGAGCTTCTTCTTTGCCTTAAGGCCTTCCTGCTTGCAGCCCAAATAGACAAAGTGGTGAGGGGCCAAGGGTTTGACATTCCCGTTTTCCAGCTGGTCTGCTTTCCAGTGTGAATTCATGGCTCGTGATGATCTTCTCCAACAGCTGCAGGCTTGAGGGCGTCATTCCAAACAGTGGGTCATCCTGAAATCAGGCAAGCATTTGCTAGTTTTGAAGATAGTCAGCTCTTCCATCAGTATCTCTAGCATTAAACACACACAGACACACACACTTCAGAGCTGGAAATGTCACTAAATCCACTGGTTCCACCTCCTTAATTTTATGCTGTTGATAGACGCTCAGAAAAGAAGAGTGATATGGGACCACGGTCACACAGCCAGGAGTTGGCAGAAACAGTATTTATCTTCTGGAACCCACATTCTAAATGAGTGTTTCTCAAGCTTCAGTAGGTCTAGAGTGGGGCCTGACATTCTGCATTGGTGATGCATCTGGCCTAAGGACTACACCTGACACAGCAAGGCTCTGAACACTCTTCCTACAAATATTATTGGTGTTATTAGCTGCCATCAAGTTGGCCCCATTTCATGGTGATGCCATGCACAAAGAAACAACACACTGCCGGGTCTGCCATTCTCATGATGTGTTGTGCATCGCATCAGACCATTGTGATCCCTAGCACTTTCGTTGGCTAATTTTTTTTTTTTTTAATTATTGAGATTTGTGTGAGAGTTTGCAGAGCAAATTTGTTTTCCATTCAAAAATTGATACACATTTTGTCTTGTGATGTCTATTGCAACCCCCACAATGTAACAATACTCTTCCCACTTCCTCCCTGTGTCTACCATTTCTCTTTGTCTTATTTCCTATGCCTTCCTGTCCTCTGAGATTTACCCGTGAGCAAAGGCTGCCCTTTTGATCTGGTATGGTTGATTCTCTAATGGCTGTGTACCCCCACCCACCCCCACCACCACCACTATTGTTCACTTTAAAGGCCTGTCTATCATCTGGCTGAAAGTTGAGCCATGGAATGAAAACCCATCCCTCAACAGGATGGATTGACACAGTGACTACAGTGATGGGCATAGCAATGATTGTGAGGATGGCAGAGGACCAGACACTGTTTCTCTCTGTTATACATAAGGTCTCTGTTTGTTGGAACTGACTTGAAGGCACCTAACCTAACCTAACCTTCAGAACAGTTAGCAGTGGTAGGTAGACACCATCTAGTTCTGGTTACAGGGTCATGGAGACTGGGGTTCCTGAGGTTCATTAGTTCTTTGGACTAATTGTTTCCTTTAGTCTGTGCTTTTCTTCACCTTGCATTGCTCTGGGCAGGGAGAGACCAATAGTTGCATCTTAGATGGCAGCTCATAAGCTTTTAAGACCCCAGTCGATACTCACCAAATTAAGATGTAGAACATTGTCTCTGTGGACTATGTTATTTCACTGGCTGACTTTTCAAAGTAGATCTCCAGGTCTTGCTTTCTAGTCTGTCTCATTCTGGTAGGTCTGCTGAAATCTGTTCTCCATCATAGCAATATGCAAGCTTCTACTGACAGACAGATGGTGACTGCACATGAAGTCACATAGTGTCTGGGAATTAAACCTGTCTCTCCTGCATAGAAGGCAAAAGCTCTACCACTAAATCACCAATTCTATTCTCACAGTGAAGGGCCCAGCTACCAAATTTGAAAATTTAATTACGCTGAGAAACCATGCTAACTCTGTCATCTCATCTACCTCTGTTTGCCAGATCCCCTTGGCTCTAGCCATACCAACCAGTTGCAGTTCTCTGATGGCCCTATGCCCTCCTATGCCTCTGTTGTTTTTCATAGGCTATCTTCTCCACATGTAGTACATTTCTCCTGCTTCTACTGTGAGGCAGTGGTTCCTTTTTATTTTTAACCATTCAATCCAAAGATATTTCCTTCTAGAGACATTCTCTGACCCCCCCCATCTGGCTGAATTAAGGAGTCATCCTCTGAGTTCTCATGGCCCTCTGGGTTTTCCTCTGCCATAGTTCTTATCTCTTGGTAGTATGTTTTGCTGTTCTTCTCTTGTTTGGATCTGTCACCAGACTATGAGTTTTTTTTAGGGTGATTGGGAATGCAAAGTATAAGTCTTGTTCAACTCTGTATCTATGAAACTTAGTGTACTGCCTCACATGTAATTGTGCACAGAGAGGAATGAAGGAAGTATGAGAAGAAGGAAGGGAAGAAGAAGGGAGAGAGGAAGGAAATTTCCTTTTCCATGGTCTTTGAAGGGAGCTCTGGTCATAGTGCCCAAGGCGTTTGACTGCTACCAGAAGGCCGGCAGTTCAAACTCATCAGCTACTCCTCGGAAGGAAGGTTAGGCAATCTACTTCTGTAGAGATACAGCCTTAGAAACCCAGGAAGGGGTCGCTATTAGTCAGAAACAACTCAATGGCAATGGAAACAATTTTATACCCAATTTTCATATCTTCCTCTGTATCAATCTCTATATATATTCACATTAAATATTCTACTAGTCAAGATAAATTTGATCACCAAGAACTATCTAACATCCAGTCATATGGCCTCTGTGATGATCTGGTTTCGCTGTCCATTCAGGCACATCTCTAATACCCCTCTTTGCATTCTCCACTGTGCTCACACTCACGATTTTCCTCCAAACATCCCATGTAACATCTCATCTTCTGACTAGAGTTCAGGCTCCTCCCTCTACCTCAAATGCCTTCTACCTTTTAATTATCTTCCTTCAAAAATTATACTAACTTAAGCTTAATAGCCCCTCATTCCCTATGGGTAGAATGGATAAGTTCTTCTGCAACATCATAAAAGCTTGTTGATGACTGAAAACTTGATTAAAAATAGGATTATTATTTGGAAACTTGTCTCTCCTGCTAAAGTATGAGCTCCTTAAAGCCAAGGATGCATGTTATATATCTCTGTCTCCTTCTTACCCCAATGTCCAGCAGATTGCTTTACTCATGCAAGTCACTCAAGGCATAAAGGGATGGAACTTGTCAGTAGTAAAGAAGTGTAAATGGGAGTATGAGGTCCCTGTATATATTTTCATCTGGCTTGACTGAGACTCACTTTGTAAAATTTATTTCAATTTGTTAGAATCGATTCAAGCAAGATTTTCCAAATTCCACAACTCATAAGTCTGTGCATTAAGTGCTATGGAAAACCACAGACAAATTGGATGTTTCTGCCTTTATAACTTCACATTGTAACAGGTAAAAAGAATTTCCACATAAATAGTTATTATAAAATACACACTCTGGGACAAACCAAGAATGAGGCATTAGCAAAGCATCTCATACCTGCAAAACAGAAGGCATTATAGAAGTGGATTTCAGAAGATAACATCATATCATGAAGGAGATGATCATTTAGCTGAGTCCTTTAGAATTGATAGGGAGTATGAGTAGTGAGAGTGCTTCAGGAAGAGGAATCTGCATGATTGAATAACAGCAATACTACACACAGAATGGACTGTGATGCAACACCAAAGAATAATGATGAATCTGTGAAACACCTCGTAACATGGATAAACCTAGAGGATGTTATGCTGGATGAAATTAGTCTATCACAAAAGAACAAATATTGTTGGAGACCACTCATAAAAGCTCTTTCACTGATGTCAAGTTGGTTCTGACTCATAGTGACCCTTCCTTGGGTTTCCAAGACCACTCCTGTAAAAAGTTAAGAAAGGGTTTATACACAGAAAGAATAATTCTTTGAAAGTTACCAGGAGTATGAGGGAGGGAGGGAGGGAAGTCACTAACTAGAGGGTGGATACATATTAAAAGTAACTTGGGTGATGGGAGAGGCAATATACAATAAGAAGTTCAGTGCAAAATGATCAAGGCAGAGGAAGACACAGGGAGAAGCACAACTATTAAAGGTGAAAACGATAAATACTATTACCACTCCCCCCCAAAAAAAATAAAAATAAATAAGGGGACAATTTGGAATGATTCCAGATTCCAGAGAGTATTAGGGTTGAGTTGACATCTGGAGCAGGTACTGGGTGTGAGGTGGAGGCATAGAGCTGGAGGAGTGGGAAGGAAATGGAAAGAGCTGAAGTCATAAAGGTAAAATAGAGACAGTTCATAAAATATAAGGGTCTTAAGATGCTGAGAGTGATTAAAGGATTTAATGAGACTATATTATCCACTGAAATAAGGCGACTGCCATCTATACCTGCCCAGCTATTTCTAAACCAAAAACCAAACTTACCACTACTGAATCGATTCTGACTCATAATGACGCCGATTGAGTTTCCAAAGCTGTAAATCTTTGCAGAAGCAAACTTTCTCACCTTTCTTCCACAAAGCAGCTGATGGATTTGAACCATCAACCTTTTAGTTAGCAGCCAAATGCCTTAAACACTACACCACCAGAGCTCCTTGGGAGCATCTAAATACTTGAGGAAATAGATATGCCTTCCTCCCATGCTTTCAATCAGAAATTAGAATTTTGAGGAAGCCAAGAAAAAGCCAAACCTTCAAACTCTGTACATGTTTTAGGTCTTGGATCTGTCAAAAATGGCAACTTTCCTTAAAGAAGACCCTCCTTCCGTGGGTTGAGATCAGTGTGACTATACAGAGTCACAGAGTACAAGCATTGCTCATGATGGCTTAATGCTTTCTTGGAATGTATCAGTAGGAAAGATCATTCCTCCCAAGTGATAGAGAAGGAGGAAGACAATGGAGGAGATTCTGCTGCTTGCTGAAGAATATGTGAGTACCTTGGAGTATGGGTGAACCTGGCCAAGATTTCCTGGTTCCAGCCACAGCCTAGCATAGGTGTTTTTTCTAGGGGTTTCAATAGTTAGTTCCCACCACAGGGATGGCTATGAAATAGGATTCTTGGACTCAGGAGAGTTGATTGTTAGCATCTCATCCCAACTCTGTGTTCAGTGATGTCACATTTGTAGCTTGAAAGTTAGCTATGCAAGGATATGTACAACAACACAATTAGTAATTATATAAATCATGGTTTATTTCAGAAAATCAGCCATTTACCAGCATACTACTAGATGGCATGAAAATCCATCGAGGACCAAGGTAAAGAAGGTCTTGGTGAAGGCCTGAAAATGCCACCAGAAGGTGGAATTATGCTCCTACCCAGAACAGACTACCATTACTTCATCTCCTTAAGGTCAAGGACTACTTGCTATAGTCTGACAAACATAGCATCAAATGACTCAAGTGATTAGGTCTTTATTCTCAATAATATCACCATGGACAATGTCGTATGGTGAAACAGCTCTCCAGTTTCACTAAGTTCTACACGTGTGTGTAGCAATATAGCTCAATGTACATGGGGCAAGTGGCCACAGAAAATTAATTCACTTAGTCACTAATTTATTCTTTTGTATATCTATTCAGTCAAATATTTAGTGAACCAGAGTGAAATACTTAGAGTTAAAGCTAAGGTAAAATCTTTGCTTCTCTATTTATTGTTTGAGAGGCTTTGGATGGGTTATTTAACATGTGAAGCTGCTGCTTCTCCTTTTTTTTTTTTTTTTTTAATAATCACAGGCATGAGGATAGCAATTTGTAGAGCTGTTATGAGGATGAGATGAAAAATGAAATTTAAAATGCACTTATCACAGTACCTATTAAATGGTAGACACTCAATACATACTCTTATTTTTATAATCAAGTATAAAAATGTAATTATAATCAATCATAAGTCTTCACTTATTAATTCAATAAATATTTCATATGATATCTTTAATCCAGCAATATTCAACAGCCTTAGATTGTGTGAGAAGAAAATAAGATATAGTTTCTGTGTTCTAGGAACTGCCCACCTGGTGGACTAACATGTAATATATTGGACATTCTTATCTTCTGGAAACTTAGTTCTTGTATGACTTTTTAAACTTGTGCAATGAAAAGTGTTACCTATTCTCAATCGAGTTCCAGCTTTGCCAAAGATTTGCTGCTTCACCTTGATAAGTCACAGTCTATGAATTTCATAGTTCTTCTCATTAACAAGGGGATTAATGAGAACATAATTATAGAACACCAAGAAAAAAAAAAAAAAACTCACTGCTGTCGAGTTGGATCTGACTCATAGTGACCCCTCCTTGGGTTTACGAGGCAGTATCACTACTGAAGTAGATTGCCCAATCTTCCTTCTGAGGAGTGGCTGGTGGGTTTGAACCACCAGCCTTCTGGTTAGCAATCAAATGCCTTAGGTGCTGCTCCACAAGAGCTCCCTAATTATACAACAAGAAGTGTCCTAAAAATCAACTAGTCTGATACCAAACTAAACAAGTTGGTGAATGTCACACATAGAATTAGTAGCAAAATACAAACTTCGACCCTAAATAATTCCTAAGATACTTCCTTGCTCAAAATTCATGCTTCGATAACATTTTAAGCACTAATAGCATAGAGTGTAAGTATGATTGAAACAATTTGTAAATGGTATTTAAAGTAGATTGAGTTTTCCTTTTACAATTGATACAAACTTCAGTCATGTTCAACATCATATTCAGTTTATTTTCATATCTTCAAGAGCCACTTTTCATTTTTAATAGGATATGAAATGAGAACACAGTATGTGCAGTTATGTCATATATCTGTCTTATAGTGTACTGAATATGTCTAATGTTTATAGATTGTTTCTATTATTTTATGAGCCCAGTGTTATTAAAATGTAAAAGGATACAAGGACTTTATGAAGCTGTGAAGTCCAAAAAGTGGACAGGAGGAAGAACATCACTGCCTTGAAGGTGCTTGCAATGTGGGAGGTTTGTAGGGTGTATAAGGTTGAATTGAGGCAGAGTGTAGTGTAGGTGACATGTACAGTGAAATGATTTGCAATCTGAGATAGATAGATAGAGATCCAACTTGCTGGCAGATCAGAGAGGATGCATTTGTAGATGAGATTCATACAGACTGGGACTTTTGTTTATTGCTTTATCTCAGGGAGTAAAATATTTCCTGTATAAAGATATATTTGCTAGAAAAGAAGGAAATGAGAGGAAGGAGAGGAGGAAAGAAAGGAGCGCGAGAGGAAGGGATGAAGGAAGGGAGGAAAAGAGGGAGGGAAAAAGAGAAGGAAAAGAAGATGCAGTTGCTTTTGGTCAAAGCTTGGTGAATGGGTAGAAGATACAGCCCAAGTGTCCATGCCATGATGGTTCTCAGGATGCTGGGCAATGACAGTCTGTCTCAAACATGTGTGCACTGAAGTCTTATCTGGTACAACTAATTATTTTCCCAAAATTACCCTTTCCCATGGGCAGGAATACCATGTGTATTTCTTGAACTCAAATAAAATAACATCTATCCTTTATCTATTCAAGATTAGCCCATAGCCAACCATGCTGCTACTCCCATGGGCCTCAGCGAGGGGAATCAAGCTGACCCTCAGAATCTACAATACTCTCTACCTCATCATTCCTTGGTTTTCAACTTGACCAGAGTGGAATTAAACAATATGCACCTAAACAAAGTGTCAATTAATGACAATTATTATTATTATTATTCAGACATGCTAACCAACAGATCAAACCTTTTAAAAACCATTTCCAGCAAAAGCTGTTGAAGCAACAACAGTGAACCTAGGTTTTCCTGGTTAAATTCCATGAAATCACTCAGTTAATCATGTTGTTGTTGTTGTTATGTGCCGTTGAGTCGACCCCGACTCATAGCGACCCCTCCTTGGGTTTCCCAGGCAGTATCACTACGGAAGTAGGATTGCCCAGCCTTCCTTCCGAGGAGTGGCTGGTGGGTTTGAACTGCCAGCCTTCTGGGTAGCAGTCAAGTGCTTTAGCCACTATGCTACCAGAGCTCCCAAGAGCCCCTTTATTCATCAGATTGATCCAGTTGATGCAGCTTCATTATCTGTAAATACCAATTGGGAGTCACTAGACAGCCAGATAACGGCTTCCAGTTAAAAGAGATATGGTGGGCTTTTGTTGAGCTGTCAGGAGCTATTTGAATATTGAAGTGATAATAATAGCATTCACAATTTATTATTCTTTTAACTGTATACTGAGCAATGTGCTGAGACTTTATATAACCATCTTGACCCTTAGAACAACATTTTTAGGTAGTTATTATTGCCTTCATTTTCCATAGGAGAAGCTGTGTCTTACAGTAGTTGATTAGCATTCCCAAGGTCACATATTTACTAAGTATCACAGCTCAGACTTGGACCCAGACTGGAAGCCCATCCATTGTTTTGATGACTCAGTGTATACAAGAGTTTGTTTAACATTGAAAAGGAAGAAGCAGTCTTTATTTGATAGGTGTTTGCAAATAATCTCAGAAGTAGGCATGAATCCTTTAGACACAAAATTCACAGAATAAGTCGAGTTGAAAAATTAAAGGACCCAGTTGAATCAGGGACAAAGGAAAAGTGCAGAGCTGAGAGGTGGCACTGTGACAGCATCTATAAGTTGTAGAGAAACCATTTTATATCTCTGTGTAGGAGTCTTACTGTATTTAGTTTAAATGTGTTGTAAAATGTTATATTGTGGAAGAGAGTTGAGGTCCTTTAAAAAAGGACAATCTGTGTCAAAGATGAGGTCATAAAATTTCAGGAAGCTTGCAGCCACAAAAACTGGGAATGACAAGATGTTTAGAATAGGCTACTAAAAAGACCATGAAAACTTCCTTATTGGGAAATCCCCCTAATAGTACAAGGTGAACTTGCTTCTCTACTTGAAAACAGTTGTGGGAAAATTAATATCTCATATTGTAAATATGCATATAGGGGGGTAACTTGAGACATTACTGATGATTATTTCTGGAGTACAGGTACCAGAAAGGAGAAGAGCTCCAGCTTTTAAGACCAGATTTTATTATCATGACTATAACCTAAAAACAAAACAACAACAACAAAAAAAACTCACTGCTCTTGAGTCAGATCTGACTCATAGTGACCCCTCCTTGGGTTTCCAAGGCGGTATCAATGCGGAAGTAGGTTACCCAACCTTCCCTCTGATGACTATAACCTACTGGCATTTAAATCAGAGACTATATTTAATTATATTCAATGAGTGTGTTGGTTATTTATATATATATAT